TCTTTTCCTGCCCACAGGAGCTTTGGGGAATAAAGCAATCCCACACCTCTGTGGCAGTGCCTTATGTATTGGAAGACAGCAATCAGGTCACCCCTAATTCTTCTCTTCATTAGAGTAGACATACCTAGTTCGCTTAACTCATATATCTTCTTTTTCCAATTTCAGCTTTTCCCTCCCAAACTTGTAATTCACCAAGATTTTTTCCTTTTATGTTGTTTGTTCTATCTGTCGTAGATGATGATGTCCCCTCTGTCTCTTCCCTAGGCCAAGCACAGAGAGTAGAAAGGAATTCAATTCCTCATGGGCTTTAATGGGGCTTGGTTGGGCCCATCTAGGTGAAGAAAGGAAAAAAGGTCACATTTTCCTTGCTGATGAAAAGAGAAATAGCCCCAAGTACTTACATTCTGTTGCCAGAATTTCAGGTATGACCAAGTATTATATAGGCAGCATTTAGAAGTTGTTTAGCTAATCTCTTCCTGAGAGCTTTCATGCTTATTTGATAATCTTTGAAACAGTTATTATGACTATGGCTGCTACTAACAATCTCTTATTATCAAGATCAGACCAACTCTTAATAGGATTTAGTATCTATAGCTATTTTCTAACTATTCCACTTATATCAGAATATAAAAGAGGCTTTTGTATAGTAGATATAACCTGCAAGTACATTCCCAAAAGCATATCTTTAGTCAAGAAGACTTCATAACAGATTGTTTTTGTAGTTAATGTGTATATATTCTAATAATAGTACGAAATCAGAAGAGTATGGAATACTGTTACGTCGACTTTGGCTACCATAATATGGTTTAAAGAAAGTGCTGTTTTGGTCTGTCAACTTTTCTCAAATGATTAAAAGACAAGTTCTACAGAATGATCAGGACTCACAGATTTTTCCCCATTTCTTCTGGAGTAGAAAGGACAATTTGTATTTTGTTACTTTCTGTGCCTTTGTAAGAAAAGATAATGCTATCCTTCAGTAGCAGCAGTTCTGATGATGATCTATCTTTGCAACCTCTTTACTCAAACTGCAAGCATTGAAAACAAACTTTGCTTCACTTTTGTCCTCTCTGGATCTATGCACATTATGTATAATAAAATAAACCTTAAAAAGGTTTCATTTAGAGACCTCTGAAACAGGAACATTTTGAAAGCAGGTAGGTGTCTCCACCCTGCTTTTCAAAAAGCATTGTACCCATTCAATCAGACTTTTAAAAACAGCTTGTTTTGATAGCAGGCTGTTCTCCTGTGGGCCTTCAGCCTTTGCTTCCTGGCAGCACCTTTGGTGCGAAAAGAGAGTGCTCAATTGGGAGACTATCAGTGCCAGCATGCATAGAGTGATAAGTTAACACACCACTGGGAATTTCTGGGGCCCACCAAGATACTTCACTTCTAATGTGCTAACAAGCTCATTTTTCTACCTCTTGCCTCTTCAGTTATTTTTTTTCTCAGAAGAGCTTAGAAGTTGAGTGCATCAGGCATAATGAAAAGCTCCGTAGGAGGGAGAAGCAATAACCCAATTTTTCCTTTTCAGCCAAATAGAAAATTAGTTTCTGGTAATACACAAAGGCCAGTATTTTTTGTGCAAGGGGCACTGCTGTGAATCAAAGGACTCTATTAACTGCAGAAAATTCAGCAGCTGTGAATCTCCCCCAATGGAAAAAGTGCTTTTCAACAAGTTGTGAGATATGTAGTATTATTTAGACTTCAACCATCAGTTTCATCATCTACCACTTATATGCAGCCTCTTAAAAACAGTACTATATTACTCTTCTATGTTAAGGCTTAATCTTGTGTATGTCCCACAACCTAAAAGCTCCAAAACAAGGAGGTGTTCTATTTCTCCTTGTTCTACTACTTATGCTATTAGTTGTGATTATGTCAAGAAAAAATTGATTTGCAGTCTAATTTTATGGAGACAGTTGAGCCAAAGCAACATATAAATATAGTAATCAGGATTATTATTGCCTTTTCTGATTCAGAGCACTTTTCTCTGTGCACATTTTCTATATATAATTAAAGTAATGATCACTGCAGAATCCAGTTAATTATTTAAATATAAAGGTTAAGGTGGAGGGTTCAGTGTTTATTATTCTTTACATTTCCACTTGCAATCATGAAAAAAAAAATTTCTAGTCTGAATATTAGTGATGGACAAAACCGTAATACCTCAAAAGGAAAAAGTAAGGTTATTTCCACATTTCTAATAAACCATCTGAAGGAATAACATTTTGCAACTGAGGTAATAAAAGCAAAAATAAAACGGAAATATATGAATAAATGAAGACTATTTTACAGGTAAGAGACGAGAGGAATTACTCATTTGATGCTGGAGAGAGGATAGTTAAGAGATATTCTGCTGTTTTTCTGTGGTGGGTGATTTAAGGATATAAAAAAAATACAGGATTGAAGATACATTGATAAACATCAAGTTGGTTTGCTATAACTGTAAAATGAATGCAGCCCTGAGGTTGTGGTTTAGGAATGTGTACATTTAGTTTTTGAAGGTCCCAAAGACAAGGAATGAGTTCTGTATTTTGAGATGAAAATTTTAAGAAAAAGCAAGGAAAAATGAAATGATTATCCCTATCAGACATCCTTTGGTTTGCACAAGAATGAGCAATTAAAGCCCTCTGTGATTATATTCCAGACACAAAGTTGATGACAATTGTTCATGCATATTTACTTTATGTCACGAGGAAAAGAGAGAGGTGGGCCTATTGAAGTTTGAATATAACGTATGAGTCTTTGCAACAGTTTCTTTTCTTGACTTAAAGATTTAAGAAAAGTGGTTTTGTGTTCTATCAAAAGATCTCAAAATGAACAGGAATGGGATTCTAATATCATTCAGTGGCATATATTAGCATCTAATCATTTCTAGCAAGTAGAATATTTTCCAATGAAAATTCCACTGTTGACTTTTCATTTGTTTCACTTGCACATTTTAAAACAGGGCTGCAAATAATCTTGTTTTATTAGGAGAATAAATTTGAGTGATGTTAAGCATCCTTTTGCATAAAAAATAAAAATAAAATACAGGCTGGCAAAGATTTCCTGATCCAATGAATATAGCAAGACAACTTCTGCAAGTTGCATTGAGAACTGATTCTAAGCTCAATAAAGCAGCCTATAACACCAAAGCAGCATGATATTTTTTTTCTTGATAATTGTATGTTGCTGCCTGCTGTTTTACATTTTGACAGCCATTTCCATAGCTGCTTTCATGAACACTAGAAATATTCTCTCTTTTTCTTGCTTTCTCTCTGTTAACAATAAAATCAAGGCCTCTGGAACAAGCAGCCTGGAGAGGCTTCTTCAAAAGCAGTGCTTCAAGGTACCAGCCTCTTGTCAATAAGATCAGAAGGAGGAGGCTGTAGGACAAAGGCAAAGAACAACAGTGCTTTTCTTTTGTCATCCTTGGGATGCTTACTTTCTTAATCAGTGCTCAGGGATGCTATCGGATTGTTTTTTTTTCCCCTTGTCTCATTTGTTTTCCTTATGCAAAATACTTTAATTGGCATTTATAATTGAAATACATGCTTTCATTCTGGATTAAGGTTTGTAAAGTTTGTTCGTTTTGTTATTTATATTTCAGCTGAAGTCCTGCACTCATCTGCTACTAACGTATGAGTAAATGTGTACAGAATTTCAATATCAAATCCTATTTTGAGAGTATGGTGACTTTAAAATAAAACTTTTTAATAAGCTAAGATGGAGGCACCCAAGGTAGTTTGAAAGAGGTTTGGTTATACTTTTATATGCTATATTTTATCTGAAAACTGCTGTGTAATGCAGATATACATATATAGCTTGTCATAATTTGGACAGATTGGATTTGGTCATCTCAACTGATTATAGTGTGCCTCAAGTCATCAATGTGGGATCACTTACCAGAACATTTGTCTGAAAGTTATAGTTACATAAAATCAAAGATTGTATTTTCAAAATTGGCGGCTTCTGATTTGTATTACTGAATGTGAAATATAACCCAGCTTTCTGAACCATTTGTTTTATGTAGATGAAAGGTATTACGGGCCGTATTGGTACAGTAGTTAAGGTACTGGCCTAGAAACCAGGAGACTGTGAGTTGTAGTTCCACCTTAAGCATGAAAGCCAGCTAGATGATTTTGGACCAGTCAGTCTCTCCCAGCCCAATCCATCTCACAGGGTTGTTGTGTGGAAAATAGGGGGAAGAAGTATTATGTATGTTCACTGCCTTGAGTTACTTACAAAGTAATAAAGCTGGGATTAGAAATCTAATAAATAAACCCCATTACCCTACCAAAGCCATAGGACTTTTGTTGTTATCACTTTCATTATCACATTCTATGACTGTGATCACACTTACTCAAAAGATATGGCTCTGCTCTTCCAAAAGCTTTGAAGTAAGAGTGATTATAAAACTGTATGACCATTTAGAAAGGAGTCATGAGAAACTCAGACCTAATTTGAAAATAAAATGCTTATTCAAATATAGAGCTTGAACTAACACATTCAGGATTTAAGTGAATGGAATGATCAGCAGACATTGAGAGACTGTCAATTTTAGTTGGAAAGCCATAAATTAAGCATAGTGTGTCAGAAATCTTAAAACATAATGTTTCTTTTATTTGATCCTTTAGCTTCTGGAGATTGAGAAATAAGCATTTACAGTTCAGTTGTAAAATACTGTGTACATAAATCCATTAAAAGAAAATAACAACATCACTGATTAAGGCTGTGTTTTCTTTGCTTTAAAATGTAAATTCTCCTTAACATTTAAATTCAACAAGCTATGAGGAAAGAGCTCGGTATCTCCAAACAATAATTCAACACCACCTAGATCCTTCAACGTTTGAGGATTATGCATCTCAGGTCTTCTGCCCAGCATCCTGCCACCATTTGCCCCCTGAAACTGGTAAGAATATAATAAAAATAAAGGGCTTTTTGTTAAACGATACCTAAAATGCAGTATTTGCAGGTAACCATGTATGTATATGTGTGTATGCGTGTATGCATCTGTGTGTATATATAGCATCTCAAACAATAAAATTTTATTCTTTCTCTAAAAATTTAAAACTTTTCACTTTATACTCTATAATAGAACTTTTAATATTTATATTATTTGTGAATGTTTCTGAATACTTAAGATTCCTAAATATAGAGACTGATCCATAAGCCTAATTGATCTACATTGTTTTAAAGAAAAAAATCATTTCTAGTCTTGGTCGTTAGACCAGAAACAATATCAATCACCACCATTATCCTGTTAAAATATGTTACTACATTGTCATTTTCACCAATAAATTAGGATACATTTTTGAAATCTTCTATAAAGATACTGCATTTTCAGTTATTAATAAAACAGTAATCACTTAAGAATATGAGTGGCTCTCAAGGCCTATCTGTACAAATAATTTGAATTCCTGATGATTATTTCATTTATTTCCCCTTTAGATCATTAAATATCAGTTCTGTTTATCAGAAGGTAAGACAAAGTGTCTAAAAAAAACCCCTCTGTTTTATTAATCTGTTACTAAAGCACTAAGCGTGTAACCTTGTTGTATGCAAACTTTCCTGACTGCCCTTATTTTTACTATTAAACGAGAGAGAAATTCACACTGTGAAATTTCCACTACATTTTATTCAAGTTTAGTATTTTACTAACTCCAGGTCTGCATGAAACGCTAACACTGTGGTTCTGGGATTAAGGTAACTGGAGAGACATCTGTTGAGCAAGTCATTCTTGATTGTGTCTGACCTTTTGTTTCTCAGCATGAACAAATAGCACTGGATGGCAGTGGTGTGACCTGTCCCCTGTTCCTGTCTTTCTTGGATGTCAACAGATAGATTATGATTTCAGTAAAGATGAATGATAAGAGAAAAGTCATTTGGTTTTTGGTGACAAAGTTTCATACTGTAATGACGTGAAAGAAATTGAAAACATTTCTACTGTTATTATCATCACCTACTTGCAATAGAGAAAAAATCTCAGCAGGTTTTTTTTTTTCTGAATACAATAGATGGAAATTTGGTCATCAGTGAAACAGAAGCTTTGAAACCATATTTGGATTTTTATTTAAAATGTAAAGATAGCGCAAAATATATGGAATATGAGCATGACCACTCAAAAGAATACTTTATTTATTCTGGTACCGACAGGTTTTAAATGAATAGCGAACAATCAATAGTGAACAATGAAGTGAAAACTGAACAATAAAAGCAGATGTCTGAGTGTAATAAACATCTGAATGAAAAATAAGAATAGTTCTGTAAATAAATATATATACGTAGAAAAAGGTAAAGAAAAAAATTAACATTGGAAAATAACTTCTTAAAATAAACACTTTGCTTATGGTCTGGTCAGTAATTATAATACCTAATGTTAAACTTTATCATATAAAACATCTCACTATGCAAGAATAGTGATTGCAGGAATTGACTGCTGTATTTTTTTCATGGAAATAATTTGTGGGCCTAGATTTATTTTTCTGTCCTAACATGTCTAAAGCACAAAGCAAACATTCTCCTTGCGATAAAACATTTTATATTCGTGTAAATATCAGTGATGCTCCAGCTCAATCTGAACCCTGAAGAAGATCAGGGTTCTGATCAATTCAAACGAAATGGGCATGCAGTTCTAATTTTCCCCCATCCCCAATTCAGAATCCTGCATGGAACTCAACAGTCAGCCATTAATAAATTTTAAAATTATTTTGGTACATGATCCCATGACTGTTAAGTTTTGTGAGGGCTCATTTATTTATATTGAATGTGAAATATTCTTACTGAAGGTTTCCCTACCATTTAATATAATGCATGGTACAGAGCGAGAAGTAAATGTTTGGAATGACTAATGTAAGCCCCATTGATTTTGGGGGAAGCACTTTAAGCATGTCTAAATTCATATCTGGTAGAGTAAATTCATGGCTTAATTTATTTCTTTGAGGAATTCATTCCCATCACACTGAATGAGTGATGTGTTCTCAGAATTCTGGGAAAAATAGTAATGGTAACACACAATTAATGAAAGCAGCCATTTAAAATAAATCAGAAAGGTTTCTAAAAGATAAAGTTCATTAACACATCATATACAGACATAATGAATCAATAAATGCCCTGACAGAATACACAAGTATTGCCAGGCAGAAAAAACAATAGAGTAGATTCAAAGCAGACATTTTAGAAAAAGCTGTTTCCCAGACTTCATTAAAAATACCTACTCTTAGTACTTAGTTATCTTATTATCTGAAGGAATTTTGTTCAAGTGATTATGTCAGAGTTTAAGATAGCCATGCATGGGAAGAAGCACTCTTTCAGATATTGTGAAAGATTTTGTGAATTAACACTAACAGTCTAAATTGAAATAAAAAACATGCTGAAAGCCAGAAAATAAACTGTACTGTCCTGGATCAGACCCCCACCCCCCCGGCCCATCTTCTAGTCAGAAACCTGTTTTCACAGTAGCCAACCAACTGCACACTAATCTCAGTGAGGCCAGGAACAGTTCCTCATTAAATTAATAATGTGTGCATGTTTGTCACTATTGTGACAAATAAACTTTTCAGCCTCAGATTGTCAGTTCAGGCTCTCAGCCATATCTGATACCTTGTAGTGGACTGAAAAAAAAGCACTAATTCATGGAGGATTTGTGCTCAAGTATCTTCTCCAGGTGGATGCATAGATGCTATGTTTATTCATTAATAATGAAGAAAGGAATAAAGGAAATGCCAAACTGCATTACATTCTAAGACACATAAAACAGCACATAAATCTCAAGGATGCTTTGGACTATAATTTTCAGGATCTCTGACCATACGCTGGTGGAACCATGTTCCAAAAGGTTTCTACTGTCTTCCTCTAATCCTTGCATTCCTGTTTATTCCTTGAAAACCTTCTCTCGAAAATGGTAAGACCCACCTAAACAGTATAAAAGGTGCCTTGGGCAGCTGTATTGAAAAGGAAAAGTTAACATAATGAGAGTCTTGCAGTATCAATAAAAGATTCAGGAGACTCTCCCTAAGACAGTATTTTTAAAATCCTCTCTTGTCCTCTCTAGAAAGGTTCCTCGTGGGATGGGAATTAAAGTTACAGGAAAAGAAAGATCGTTGGGTGTCTGATCTTCTACTTGGCTATGGAAAGATGAAATTACGGGGGAAAAAAAACCCTTAAAAATGTCAGGAAATGGTTTTTTGGAGGGGGGGGGTGGCAAGACAGCAATGATAAACCTGTCTTGTTTACAAAGGATATTACATGCACCTGTCCATGTAGCCCACCAGGAATCCACCTCAATTTGAAGGAGATCTTTTACTTCTTTCCTGGTTGAATATTCAGACAGTCGCAACAGAATTCTTGTAACTCAAATATTAAACTGATTTAAAATTGATTCAGAAATTCAAGTAATGTCAGATTTATGATCATTTGGAGCAGGTTTAATGAACTAGTTATCATATACATTCCCCATATTACAGAAGAGAAATTAGTGGTTTATAGTAGACACCTCAAAAGTTAAGATAAACAATGTCACCCTTAATACATCTACCAGAACTAAATCTCTGTATTTAACAGAACTTATTCTTAGGCCAATGCACAGAGGTTTGCAGCTTATCTATCTCCTATAATAAATCTATCTCTTGTAATGAAACTTCCAGATAAACCATAATGCCTCCTGAATTATTTCTACATTGCTATCAGTGCTAACTTTCCATTTTGATGAGATTGTTTACATGCATAAATGATGTTAGTAAGAGTCCCTGGAGAATGTGAAGCGATTCTAATTGTATATTTAGAAAGAAACACAAAAACAGCCTTGGGTCTTTTCAGCCCCATAATATGTTTAGATGTATCTTCTGTATCATTTGCCAGTTACCTGTTGAATAAATTAAACTACCAAGCCAAAAGTAATTTGATTAGAGGAAGAGAACCTTTTAGCAAAGCTCTATTTTTACGTGTACAAAGTCCCCTCTCACTTCTAAAATAAAATGCAGTGCTAACATAGGCAATCCAAAAGGTTCTGTTTCTCTTCAATGTAAAATTTATACCAGCCTTCCCCAATCAAGTCCCACAAGATGTGATGGCCCTAAGATTTGTTGACCAAAAATTCTGGGAGCTGTAAATGCGCGATTGTGAAGGCTGATTCATTTATGAACAGTTACTGAAGTAAGACATGGGTATTAACTTTTATGTTAATTGTAGATATTTTAGCAAAGAAAAATGTTAGGTATTTTTCTGAATATCTAATTTAGGTCTAAAACTTTAGATATTTCATCTATCAGCAAGATACTATATTTCAAGGCAGTTGTATAGTTTGTCAATGAATCCTCTTATTACCATTAATCAAGGAACACAGGACTGTCAAAGACAGTTTTTAAATTTAAAGATCTGCATACAGTAAAAGTAACCCGGAAAAGATGCTTCATGCCCCTTTTGCTAGTCATTAAAGCAAACTGGCTTTTGTCACACTTTTATATGAGCCTAGGGAAAAAAGTCAAAGTTCTTTAAGAAATATGAACTTTAATGAGTGAATTCCTTAAAACACGCATGCCCTTTTTAAATGGAAAACAGCAAGCTGCTGAGCTGCCGCAGTGTATTATTGTACAATGTATAATTGAAGCACTTCTTCAATGTAACTTATAATGAGTCTCCAAAGTGCAGTATTCCAAGTCTGTTGTGCTCACCACAAAAAGTTTTTTAGAGGAAATAGAATAATTTTTAAAGTATTAGTATTTTACAAGTGAGCATTTAGCAACTAATTTTCAAAAATGTTACCCAGCCAGAATAATACCCAGTATGTATATTGATAGAACCAGAATATTGCTGGCTTAAAGTAGGCCTTAGACCACATATAATATTTAGTCTTTCAGAAGTCCTTTACACTCAATTAATTCTGACTAATTAACTCTTGTCAGGAACAATCTATCCCAGTTGCTAAATGAGATACAGGAAAGACAGTATGCAAAAAAAGGGGGCTGGGGGGAAGCATGTTTAAATCAAATGTTTGTTTTTTTTAAAGACTTTTCCCCTTTGTTCCCAAAGTGACTTTTACATTGGGTTCCAATATATTCTTACAGCAAATGGTTTATGTCTAGCTTTGCTGATCATTGACCTTTTATTTTATTTATTTCGGAAGTGAGCTAGGATCAGATGGAATTCACTGGTTCTGGAGAAAGAACGACAAAAGATTTCATTCTGCCTTCTCCAGTTCCTAGCATCACTTTTCATGCTATTCTGGACAAATATCTCACCCTTCATAAGCAGGTGATAGAGGATGCTTTGGACAGAGGATCCAAATGAAGAAACAGGTCTTACCTCTTTCCTTACTTTGGCAGTGGAATTCAGCTAAGCTTATGTCTGAATCTAGTGAAAATTATTTCTGAACTCTATTTTTAATTTATGCTTATCGAGAATTTTACATAAAACAGAAAAATCCAAAGAAAAAGATAGGAAACGAAGAAGAAAAAAAGAATGCAAGAATAGAATAGAATAGAATAGAATAGAATTTTATTATGGTCTTAAACCAGCAATAGACATCACTATTTACAATATACATAAAAATACTGATACATTATAATACATTAATAGTGGATAAAAACATCTGTTAAGAAAATACATGTTCTCAAATAGTTAGGGGCAGTCCCTGGTTTATATGAGTGGAGAGCCAATAAGTATGTGTGTAAATATCATTTTCCAAAGTTTGTTCTATCTCCAAAAATTGTCACAAATTGACAGCTATAATTCTGTAACCAACTTTTTTTCTAGTAGACATTGCAGCAACACAGAATTTTGCCACTGCACGCGTAATAGCTGGGTTTGAATCCTGAAGGAGAAAGTCTACATAAAAATTGTTTGCCTTCCCTGGCAATCTCTCTAGTAAGGGGAGAATATACAATGACCTATAAACTCTGTATAACTCACAGTACAGTAAAACATGTGAGATATCTTCAACTTCTCCTTTACCACATATACATACCTGTTCTGCTATTGGTGTTTTCTTATACCTGCCTTGAAGGAGTGCTGATGGGAAAATATTAAATCTGGCTCTGAAGAATGCTATTCTTTGTTTTGGGAAGATCAGATCATTTAGATATCTTGCTGATTCCCATACTCCCTGTTTAATTCTGTCCCTGCTGTGGCGAGCCAACCTATTTAGTTCTTCTTGGTACTCTATGTCCTTCATTCTATTGATTACTACTTGCTTTGCTTGGTCAAAGCCTAGGGACATTAAGAACACTGGTGAGAGCCCATAAGAGCCCAGCTTGTGGTCTGTTGCCTGTTTCCAGGGGGAGGGGTGGTTATCAGTCAGTACTAGAGGGGTCAGTCCCTCTGGGAAGAAGGTGCATTTTTAGCCAATGAATGATCATCATCTTCCAGGCTCTTACCTGAAGAAAAGAAAGAAAACTAAAGTTATGAAACATTATGATTTCCAATTTTAAAAAGAGTCTTGTTTTGAAGAAATTCAGTGATCATTTGAATGAATTAAAGAGCAAGGTTGTTTTATGTAAAAAGAAGGAACATAAAGTTGGTTTATTTGAGCATTATTAACATCAGATATGTTATTTGGGGGCGGGTCTTTTTGAACTTGTTGACATCTGGATTGGAAAAGATATGTATTGGAATTCCTTATAGTTAGGAGTTGAGATGTGGAATGATGAGTTTTATATTTGTTAATAAATATGATTATTTCAGAGCTCCATTTGGACATCTTGCCTATTCCTGGACTGGAAAAGATGTTTATTGGAGTTGCCTACAAATAAGAGTTGAGTTATCAGAAGAGGAGTTTTATATTTGTTAACTAAGAGGAAGTGAAGAAGACAGGAGGTTGCTTTCTCAGTGGGGTTTTTTTCCTATTTTTTTCTTTTTGTTTTCTTGCATTTCTTTTCTTTTTAGTTTGTATTACATTTCATTCCTGTATTTAAAACTTTCAATAAAAATACTTTTTTTAAAAAAAAGAAAACTTATGATTTCCAACTTTTTCTTCAACAGATATTGACAACCCCATCATCTCTCCTCCCTCTTATCTCTTCCAGAAATCCCTTCAACCCTATATTAAATTCTCATCCTTTTCTGTCTTTAAATCTGTAAATCTTCATTTCACCCTTCTGTTAGTAAAAAAAAAGTCTATAAAAATTTTCCAGTCTTAAAAAGAACACTACTTTTTCCCCCTGATAAAACAGGTCAGTTTCTCCTAATTATGACAGTTTCTGTCCATTGTGGGAATTTCAATATTCTTCCATCTTTATGCACATAATAATCTTGCTGATGTTACTATATACAAAATTAATCTTCCATGAGTCTACTTTTTTTTTTTTGAGTTGACAATATTGGGTAAAACAGGCATGACAGCTGGGACCAAAGGTACTTATTAATTCACCGTATGTTATTATGTCTGAATTCTCTACATCATTTCAGATCTTGGCTGGTAGCACCTGAAAGGACATAATGAAAACATTTTATGATATAGGAAATATTTATTTGAACTGTTGGAATGTACTCAACATAAATAGCTGCATTTCTATTTCTTTTTCAACCACCTTCAAGTTAAATAAATGTGAAGAATGATAAAAAGGGGGAATCTTTTAGAAATAAATGGATTGTACTCCATGTATACTATAGGTTTACTTGGCTTCTATTTTCATAAAAGCTAAAAAGTATTGCCAGTTTTGAATTCTTTAGACATGTAAAATGTATCATAACCATATATACTTCCTTTTGCAAGTTGGTGATTTTTAATACCAAATGTTTTTCAGTAAACGTGTTAAAACTACACGTAGCAGAATTTTAGAAAATTTTATTTTTTATGTGAGCTGAAAAAATTGCTTTTAGGGAGGGGTGTTAATATTTTGTTGTTTTATCGATTGCAGAGTATTTTTTTAATTTATAAACAGTTTCTAAAACACTATAATTTATGTCATAATGGTTGTATCAATGAGGCTGTTGGATCAGAATTATTTTTATAGATTCTTTTTCTTTTTTTCTGTTCTTTTTTTTTCTTCTTTGTTTTTGTAACCTGTAGTCGGTGAGTATTCTTCTGATTGTTAAGCTGTTGGTTCATTTTTACACATTAATGCATCCCTGTTTAACCGTAGCTTGCATGTTAGCAACATAACAGATTCTAACTTTCTCCTTTCTGTACTCATCTGTAAATGCCCTCCAACCTCTACTGTTCACGTCTCATGTCTCACACCTGTTATCTTTTTTTTTTATCTTTCTTCCTTTTTCCTTACTTCTGTCCACCTCTCCATCACTTCTTCATTCTCAACAAAGAAAGAAATGGTGTGATATTTCTTCTCCTTCCCAAGCCACCTCTAGAAAGAATTGGCCACTTCAAGGTAAAGGGCTCGGAGGCTTGAACTGGAAGATCTTTCACACTTAACTGTGGATGGTAGGCTGTGCAGGGCACCAGCCTTGACTTTTTATGCACCACCCTACCATTGAGAGTAGGGGTTTCCAAGCTTGGAAACTTTAAGCCTGGTGGACTTCAACTCCCAGAATTCCACAGCCAGCTGCTGGCTGTGGAATTCTGGGAGTTGAAGTCTGCCAGGCTTAAAAGTTGCCAAGATTGGAGACCCCTGATTTAGAGTGCTATGATTCCTTGTAAAATGTGAACAAGATGTCTGAATATTGATGTGTGCTGGGCAGGTGGGGATGAATTTAAAGAAACAAACAAACAAAACTATTCTCCCATGTGGAAGAGGCTTTTTAAGGCAGAATAAATTTTCTTTTACTGCGGCTTTATATGCTCCGTGCCAAATCAGTTGAAAAATCATGTTTCTTATGGATGACCTTGAAAAGTATTTGGAAATTGAAGCAATTAACTTGCTTTTTGACACATCCCTTGTTTATTATGTTATCAGTTTCCTGTAGATTGCTTTGACTACCAGCTTGTTTCCAAACACAGTTCAAGATAGCAGTTTTTATATGTAAAGTTACTAATCTTTTTCCTAAGGAGAGGAGTTTGAGAGACTAAAATATTTGCAAGAGCAATCCTCCCATTATAAATTTCCCATATCAAATGGCTTAGGAGCTAACCTTCCTAACCATCAAACTGAGCAATATTGGTAGGAACACAAGAGAATAAACTGTTTTGGAATATAAAAGTTGAATTACATGTGGGATCATTTCTAGGCCAAAAGATAGCTTATATCTACCTATCTATTGATTGATTAATTGATCAATCTATGTATATGCAGGGGAAAAAAAGAGAAAAGCTATTTCAGAAAGTGCGTGGCCAAAGCACAAACTACAGGTATTCCTTGATTTACAACAGGTCATTTAGTGACCGTTCAAAGCTACAAGAGCACTGAAAAAAGTGAGGACCATTTTTCACAGTTACAATCTTTGCAGCCTCCTCACAATCACATGATCAAAATTCAGATATCGGCAACTGGTTCATATATATGATGGTTGCTGTGTTCCAAAGTCATGTGACCTGACAAAGTCAAGGGGGAAGCCAGACTCACTTAACAACATTTCTGACAAGGAGTGTCGTAAAATGGGGCAAAACAACCTAACAATTATTAGGTTAGATTCATGACATTCTGGTTTTAAAAGCAGTTCCTTTCGTGAGGTAGTCAACATGGCTTGCTGCGATCACCTTGCAGTAGTGTTTCAAAATGAAACCAAAAAATATGCCTTCAGATTTGGAAGGAAGGAAGAACTCTTGAGATTCTCAAAAATATTTTATTAAAATGGTTTCATAAACATGTATTTTGTAAAATGGAAACACTAAATACATCATTTTAAGGGTGTTTGTGTTTTTCAGAAGAATCTGTTCATTAAATTATAAGGTAACTTTGAGATTTAATATAATTGTCAAATGCAATCCATAGAAATACACCAGGGTGTATTTGCAAAGTGTTCTTGTCATAGCATCCACTCATTCTCTGAGAATATAATGCCTAAATCTTAGAAAACTCTTTGCAGTGTAATGCAGCACCAGATCCCTCAATTCCGATACTTTTCATATTAATGAAAGTCTCTTCCACTTGCAAATGGTTTCCTTTTATTTCGTGTCATTTATAATTGGGTCCAAATAGTTCTTGAATTATTTTGCTGTGGTATTATTCTTGGAGAAAAATATTTTTATTTTAAGCTGAATAAAATATAAATATACAAACATAAATCTGAATACTTTATGATGGAGGACCATTAAAATAACTGTAGGGTTTTGGTTTCGTCATCTTTGACTACACTTTATGTGTAAATGCACATATATAAGGCAGATAATAAAAAAATGGATTTATGGCCACATTCAGTTTTGTAATAAGAATTTTGTTTCTGAGCATTTATTAAGTGCAACATAACCTAGTATTCTATTAATGAATCAGAAAAATATTATGAATAATTTGGATTAGTTGAAGAAAGCCCACATTTTATCATCTTTCAAAAACGTTTTTCACATTTGCAGTGGGAAAATGTAGCATTATTACAGAATTATAATTACAGAATTAAATTATAAATAGTAGGATCCAAATATAGGGCTGTGTGCATGTAGTAGCCAACTGATACCTTGAGCATTGATCTCTGCTAATATCAGCCATGTCGTATAATTTTTTTATTAAAAAAAAATTTGCAGGTAAATGTGACATAACCTGTATGATCTGTTTTGAACTACAGTTTATTTTAAAAGGTACAATAAAGAAAAACCTTTCTTTTTTGGCAAATGGAACCTTACCTGTAACTTATAGAAATGATCATATCCTGTACATACAATCTGGCCTGTTCTGCATGCCTCTGAATTTTGGCTTTTGCAATAACCGTATTAACCTAACCTATTGCTTCTGCTGTTTGCCTTGGGGCCAATCCAAGGAAAATAAATGTGCTTTGGGTCAACAATACTACCAAGTCCTGTCAAAATTATCTTGTTCCTTTTACAAAGATAATGAGCCACTTAGTATATTCGGCTAGCATGATTTATTCATACTTCTTTACCATTGAATCTTATCAGAATACATACTGTATGTATAACACCAATTAGATGCCACCCTAGTTTAATTTTTAATAACTTCCCAGTCCTTTATTATTAGTTAGTTTGTGTGAAACTGTCCCCTAACCACTCATAATCTAAAATAGATGGGTTTGTTAATGTTTCTGACAGATGGGTTGCTGTTGATGGGACAGATCAAAAGAGAAGATGCTGTTTTAGGGCTTGCACTTTGCAAATCTTCTTCTGTAATCAGATGGTTTTAATACGTGAGGTCCTTCTGTTTTCTATAGGGCCCTACCCAGAGACTCAGGCGTCCGAAGTTCCAGCAGCAGCGCAGATGGACAGGTCCGATCTAGCTTTCCCCATTTCTCCACGGACTAGCAAGAGTCGTATGTCCATGAAACTGCGGAGATCCTCTGGCTCAGCCTACAAGACTTAGTGAGGGGCAAAGCCTCCAGCCTCTTTTATCAAGACATAAATCTCTCCTTTATGCTGAATATTGTTCCTTCATTCCTCTGCTCTTATTTTTATTTTAAAGAAACATGAAATTTTAATTCAAAATGAACATATTTTAGCTTTTGTGTTAGAATATTCAGCTTCCTGCTAATCATAGTTTATCAATGCAGAGTATTTCCTGTTTCACTGTTTTGTTTTTATATACTTTTCCTTGAGAGGAAACTTTTAACATCTGTGATTAATTACTACCCCGCCCCCCCAAGCTGGAAACTGCAGGCATGTTCCACTCTTATTTATTGTATAACCCTTTCAGAATAATAAAGATGTCATCTTCAAAGGGATGCATGTGTACTTTTCAAACTAAGATGTATTTCCAGAGTTCTCTGCAAATATCACTAGAATTCACAGAATTATGTACAGTTATTATATTATAAGAATAAACCAAGTTAACAGAGACTCTTCCTCAGCTCCATTATTCTCATTTACTGTTGGGCAGACTTAACAGCGAGCATTTACTGTTAAGTATCAGCAGCTTCCAACTTCCTTGCTAAACATTTGCTTTTCTCGTGGCCCTCTTGGCACAATCTTTCTCTTCCAAAAGTTGAGATCATCCCTTGATATATCTGTATACATGTGTACAATCACCTATTTTCAAGCACTTTGCCACTTCAGTCATTTGCTTTCAATCAAGTAATGTGGGGTGGGGGGAGGCTGTGCCCTCATAATAGCAAATAGATACACAAATACATTCCACTCCAATTCGTCACTACTACTCAGAACTATTTTCATAATGAAGAAATTCAACTGTGTCGTTTGCCATATTCTGCTTTAACAAAATATAGCATGCCACTGGTACTAACTGCATGTGTAAATATATGTTCCTCACCTGGGCAACTATAGAAATATATATTGATGTATTTGTTCGCCATGTAGTATATACAAATTTGTAATGGTTGAAGAAAAGACATGCTATTTAATAATACAATAAAATTATTCTTACCACTTCGGGTGTTTTTTATTTCGTTACAAAAAGGGATTCATGCAAACCTTTTTGGTGCACCAATATCATGAAAAGAACGGCATGGAATGATGATTTAGTTGTTCAAATACAAAATCTTTTTGATCAGTTTTTTATTTCATTGTCTTGTTCCAAACATAATTTTTTTAATGGTTTTGCTTCATGTAACACATGTTCTGCTTAGAACAGTATTCATAAAGTCACAAAGTACAGCATTTAATGTTGGAAGCAACTAATAATGTTTCCGCATTTGCCCCTGCTTAGAGGTTTTTAATATTTTAAGCTAAAATCATTGTCTACTGTTTTAAGCAAATTGTATATTGGAATTATTGTGTATATAGTATGTTGAATTTTTAAAGTTTTAACTGCATTTGAGAAATCTCAAGCAAATGCAGTTAGAGTGAAAAGAAGTTGTATTTTGCCAGATGTAATATTTCATTGAATCATACCTGTTGGCTAGCATTGCTAAAATATTAATACATTACTGTATAAAAACTAAAACCCAAATTAGAAAAATTTTAAATCTTTAGAAAACTATATTGAACATCCTGCTAGCTTAGTTTCCAAATATTTTGTCAAACAAACTGCAACCTGGAAGCAAAGGAGTTTTAGCTAGAGGTCCAGTTCAATTTGGAAAAACTGATACCTAAATGTTATTCTAAATAGTTGTCATTTGTATTTTTTTAACATCCAACTGGGAATTTTCCAGTGATATAGTTTCTGATGAAGAGTCCAGGACAAAGAGCTAGAGGTGGTAATTTTACAAAAGCACTTTCATGGATGACGGAGACCCCTGAAAAAGCTAACAACCTTTTGTGTTTATTATAGTTATCTCTACCCAACAGTCAAAATCTTAAAGCAGCCCTCCCATCCCATGTGTGTGTGTTTGTGTCCTTTTTATCTATTTTAGTGAGCTTGAAAATTTACACAATATACTCAGAAAGCAAACAAAAATTAATGCTGATTTTAATAGCCAGTAATGAGCAACAGCAGACAGAAGGAGCATTTTGTAACAGACATTGACCTGCTATGAATAACTGACTATATATTGTTATATTACAGAACACAACAGAACAGTTACAAAATCTAATTTTTTAAAGCTTAAAAACTGGAGAGACAACTTCCCCTAATTGAATATATAAATCTGACTACTACTTCCCAGTTAAGCTTTAATTAAACAGTGTTGGAATGTACTTAAGCTCCTAGGGACAAGAGTAACCAGAATTAAATATTCACAGTCCCACTTTCCCCAGATGACTTACTCACAGGTAGGCACACAGTTGGTTCTAGGTTTAGCTACAGTATTAAGCACAGCCAGAAAAGTATGTTTCATCTCTCAATGTAATGCCACGTTTTTAGTCCTAAAGCAGAAGGTAGGCTTCTATATGGTAAAGAGTTCACTCATGAAAACAGTTAAAAGAGTTAGGTATGTCACAGAATATACAGTGCACTCTCGTCCCACTATAAGGCAGCAAGGAAAAATTGTCAAAAATAATTGGACTAAAAATATTTGACACAAAATATGGCAATACCTTTTGGTTATGATTTTCCATTGGAATTATACTTTGGAGAGGATTTTTTGGGGTCACCAAAGAAAAAAGTACAAAGCTTAGGGACAAAGGAAATATCATATAACGCAGTTTCAGACAATGGGAAAATAGTCTGAGCACCTGCTCTGTACAGTCGGGCAAATGCTTAGCCTTAATGTGTGCAATTTCACAGTTCAGTCTGGAGAAAAGGATCAACTCGTTGCCGGATGAGTCTAGCAGCCGGGCCTGACGGACATCTGCAATAGAAGCACCTGCCTGTTCTCCGAAGGGTGGCACTTGTTGATGTGTCGGGTAAGGCCGGGCGAGCTGAAGAAAGTCGAGGGACAGTGTTTGCAGGAAAAGATCTGCTGCTCACCATGGTTAAGGCTGCCCTCAGGCTGGCCCAGTGGCAGCAGCAATTCCTCCCGCACCGTGTGCCATACCCGGTGCTTGTCTCGGATGTCCGCCGACGGGAAATGCGCGCCGCACAAATGACAAGAAAAAGCCACCTGTTGCGGGGGTGGGTGAGATGGTGAGGAGTTGCTGGGGAAGCTGGCAATGCCAGCCTGGTGGGTGCCCAGGTGTTTGCGCAGGTATGCCTGGCGCCGGAAAGACTTATGGCAATAAGGGCAAAAGTAGAGCTCGCCAGGAGGAGCTACCAAACCGGAGCCAGGAGTGGCGACAGAGGCGGCGGCAGCTTCGCTGGCCGGACCGAGCTGCGCGGCGCGAGGAGCCGGCTGGTCCCGGCAGCAGGAGCTGTCCGCAGCGCCGTGGTGCTGTTCTCGGCCGGCCGCCCCGCGGCTGTTTTCTTTGTCCTGTGTGGGACCGGCAGAGGTGGTCGGGCGCGGCTTGTGCCACCGGCGGTGAGAAGCCAGGTTGGCCGGGCAGCTGAAGATTTTGTGACACTCCGGGCAACGGTATTCGACGCGCACAATGCGGGAGCAACGGTGCTGAGCCAGAGCCAAGGGATCGGCATAGGGTTCCTTGCACAGCTGGCAGACAAATTCACCGAGCAGCGTCGGACGAGCCACGCGGATCCCTTCGCTGCCCGCCTCGGAAGCAGCTTTGATCCGCAACCCCAACACGGGCGATGTGGTCACCTCGTCGGCAAAGCTCAGCTTGCGCACGGCCTTGGGCTTCTTGGCGGGCGTCGCCTTCGCTCGGGGGGGACGCTTGAGCGGGATAGCCGGGCAAAGCGGGGCAGCAGGCAAGGGCAGCGGCACCGGCACCGGCAAAGGCACCGGAGTGCGCGGAATCAGGGGCAGCTTTTCTGTCAGGGCCAAGGCGGGGCCCAGAGGAGAGGATTCGGCAGATACGGAAGGAGGGACGCAGCGCCTGGGCTCCTCCGCGGCGGGGGCTACGTGGTCCGAGCCTCCCGCGTCCCAGATCGCCATCACTGGGGAATTGGGCTGAGGCAGCTGCTGGGGCTGCTGTTGCGGCGCCTCTGGCAAAGGCGTTGCGAGGCGGGGCGCTTCCTCCAGGCGGAGCGCCGAGAGTCCGCCTGCGGGGCGCATCCTATAGGAGCCCCCCGGCCTCCTGCTCCGTTTCACCAGGAACCCCCGCGGCATCTTCCGGGTACACCGGATGGCAGCGCTCCACTTGCACCGGCGCTGCGGGCCCGTCGAGCGTTTATACCCCACGTCCCTCGGGGAGCGAGTGCGTCACCGTTCCCTCGGCCCAAGGCTGCCAATGAGGAAGTTGAGAGGACAAATGTGGAGGGAGGGGAGACGTGAGTTGGAAAAGGCGGGAGAATCTGAGCTTGGAGAGCGCCTGGGCACTTTCCCAAACGGCGCTGGCGGGGGGCGGGGCCGGCAAGGCGAACTGCTTACCTCCGGAGCAAGCAACTGCCTCACCGCCCAGCCAACCCTCACCTGCCCGCTTGTGCTAACCTGACTTTCCACCCGACCGTCCCAGGCAGGATCCTCTCTCTTTCCAAGCATCCTTGGAATAATTAGGTTCGGCTCGCCCGAGGTTTCCCTCTTCAAAAGCCAAGGCGAAGTAGAGAGGGCCTCTCAGGGCAGCAGACGCTGGCCAGGAGGTTCCAGGTGCTTTGGGCAGAGAATTCAATAAGGCGACGGCACCTTACCTGTAAAACAAAGTTTGGCCCATTCGATAAATAAGTTCCCATAGGGGCTGAAATGACCCCTGAAGGAATGCAGATGTCCCTATCCTCTGCTAAAATGCAAACAATCCGAAGCATGCATGCATGCATGCATACATACATACATATATATATTGGCGAAACTCATCCATGACACGATAATTTAACCTCTTCCCATTATCAACCAGAC